TCCATGAAGGCTGCAATCAACTTCTTCCAACTCCTATTAATGTTGATATTTTGACCTCCTCCCACAAATCATGAACGTTCTTAATGGCATCTAGAATGGTGTATCTTTTCCAGAAAGTTTTCAATTTACTCTGCCCAGATACATTAGAGGAATCACTGTCTATGGCACCTACAGCCTTATGAAGTATACTCCTTAAATAATAATATTTGAAAGCCAAAATTACTCCTTGATCCATGGGCTGCAGAATGGGTGTTCTGTTAGCAGACACGAAAACATTCATCTCCTTGTACATCTCCATCAGAGCTCTTGGGTGGCCAAGTGTATTGTCACTGAGCAGTAATATTTTGAAAGAAATCCTTTTCTCTGAGCAGTAGGTCTCAGCAACAACAAAAAACCAAACCCATTGCTGTCAAGTCAATTCCGACTCACAGTGACCCCACAGGACAGAGCAGAACTGCTCCATAGGGTCACAACAGTGGGCTTAAAATATTCAGTAAATCATGTTGTAAACAGATGTGCTGTCATCCAGGCTTTGTTGTTTCATTTACAGAGCACAGGCAAAGTAGATTTAGCATAATTCTTAAGGGCCCTAGGATTTTCAGAAAAGTAAATGAGCACTAACTTCAACTTAACGTCACCAGTTGCAGTAGCCCGAAACAAGAGAGTCAGCCTATTCTTTGAAGCTTCGATGCCAGGCATTGACTTCTCTCTAGCTATGAAAGTCTTAGATGGCATCTTCTTCCAATATAAGGCTGTTTCCTCTACATTGAAAATCGGTTATTTAAAGTAGCCACCTTCATCAATTATCTTCTGGATAGCTTATCCAGATCTTCTGGACAACTTGCTTCAGCTTCTACATCAGTACTTGCTGCTTCACCTGCACTTTTATGTTATGGAGATGGCTTCTTTCCTTAAACCTCATGAACCAACCTCTGCTAGCTTCAAACTTTTCTTCTGCAGCTTCCTCACCTCTCTCAGCTTTCAAAGAATTGAAGAGAGTTAGGGCCTTGCTCTGGATTAGGCTTTGGTTTAAGGGAAGGTTGTGGCTGGTCTGATCTTCTATCCGACCAATAAAACTTTCTCTACATCAGCAAAAAGGCTGTTCCACTTTATCATTCGCGTACTAGTAGCACTTTTAAATTTCATTCAATAACTTTTCCTCTGCTTTCACAACTTGGCTAACTGTTTGGCACAAGAGGCCTAGCTTTTGGCCTGTCTCAGCTTTTGACACGGCTTCCTCACTAAGCTTAATCATTTCTAGCTTTTGATTTAAAGTGAGAGACGTGTGACCCTTCCTTTCACCTGAACACTTAGAGGCCACTGTAGGGTTATTAATTGGCCTAACTTCAATATTGTTCTGTCTCAGGGAATAGGGAGGCCGGGGAGAAGAAGAGAAGGGGGAACGGCCAGTTGATGGAGCAGTCAGAACACATAAAACATTTATTAAGTTTGCCATCTTATATGGGCACGGTTCGGGGTACCCCAAAACAATTAGAACAGTAACATCAAAGATCACAGATCACCATAACAGATACAGTAATAATGAAGAAGTTTGAAATACTGCGAGAATTACCAACCTGTGACACAGAGAAACAAAGTGAGCACGTTGTTGGAAAAATGGCTCCGACAGACTTGCTTGATGCAGAGTTGCCACAAACCTTCAATTTGTAAAACACGCAGTATGTGCGAAGTGCAATAAAATGAAGTATGTCTGTATTAGTATCGGGGAAGAAGTCAGTAGTATTATCTGACTTTATTTTAAAAACAGGTAATTGTGGAATGAGATTTTTTGAGAAGATGATTTGGAGAACATTTTATTGGCACTTTTCGTTATTTAGTGTTTTATATAGGATCATTGCAGCCTTTTGAACAACTTTTAAACTTGTAAAAAATTAATTCAGAGGTATAGTAAGAAAAAATTAATAATCTCTCGTTATTTATTAGATTTTAAGGATGTTATTATTTGGTATACTTAAAAAAAAAATCCTACACAGTATTCTTAGTGGTACAAAACAATGGACACATAAGTGGGAGAGAGAAAAGTGATGACTTCTTGATCTTGTTCAATGTCTCAAAATGTAGCCGCAACAAAATCACCTGGGATGTCTGTTCAGATTTTCAGATTCCTATCTCCCACCTTCAAAGATTCTGATTCAATATTCTAGAGCAGGACTTAGGAAGCTACACTTCTAAGAAATACTCCAGCTGCTTCTGATGCAGGTGAGAACAATGATACATGAGTAATGGTACAGGACAAATTAAAAATAACATTATTAACTCCTCAGAATATTTTCCTAAGTGAATAAAGTAGTTGATTTCATAAAACTATTATCACTGATTTTGCTACATTGATAAATATTAATAATTTGTTGCTGATTTGGCTAATAATAAATCTGTACAGTTCTCAAAAAAGCTATTACAAAAAAGGGGATTTTTTAAGACTTTTTATCAAAACATTCTGTATCAGAATCACATTTCAATAAATTCAGACTATGAAAACCACTTAAAAATATATTTTAAATAATGCCATTTTACTGCAAGGTCCTTAAGAAAATACTGTTCAAACAGTTTTTTTTCCTAGTAGAATTCCCCATTTCCCATATTCTTTCTCTGGTATGGGAAGCATGGGCATTAAGATAATCTCTTAATCCTAACCCCACCTCCTTCCCTCCCCCACCCCATATATGACCTTAAAACGAGTCGATGTTTAAAATATTTTCCATTGTATTCAACGAAAAAGTGATAAATGCCAAAACAATATCTATGTGAGAATGACTCTTGCATGGAAACGGGCTAGTAAATTCATCTATTACATGAGATGTATAATTAACACAATTTTTGTTACAAAAGGATAAAGAATTATTATGGGACAGCTGTCTAGACATGAAAATAATCTAATTACATTATACCAAGTATTATCAAGGTATCTATCCATTGAAACAAAATTATATATATGCATATATAAACATACACATACATATATACATATATATAACTTAAGGTTTATTAATGCAAGATACTTACTACTATTAATAATGTAGTTTGGAATCATTTTACCTTTTAATATTGCTGCTGAAATTCCAATGGTAGCACAGAGCAGGGGGAAAAAAGCAAAGGCATTAAAGAGTTATATGAAATAATAATTTGCCTATGTTTGATGTGTCTAAATGCACATATGTAGGAAAGAAGATCTGAATTTAGAACTAGGGCCCAGAAAAAATAAAACTTGGTATACAGGAGGATTTAAGATTAGAAAACCTCTGTATTATGTTGTTTCCATCTATACATCCCTAAATACATACATCCTACTCACTCACTCCACTGCTCTTAAATTACTGACATTTGAAAGAATCTCAAAGAAGAGTAAAGCAATACAAGACAAAACAAAACAAAACAAAACACTAATTAGGCTAGCACTAGATAATCACGAAACATTTGTTTCTTTTTTAAGACATCCCACTTGGAAGTTATACTGACTGAATCAGTTTTCCTACATATCTATCAAACACTCCAAGGATACAACAACCCTATACAAATTATACAACTTTATCTCCTTAAGGGGGATGGGAGGAGTACCGTGTTCTCTACAGGTGTATCCAGTAGATAAGAAAGGCTGCTACCATAAGCAGTTATCACAGCCTATGCTTGATGGCTTACTTTCCTATATTTCTTGGTGGAAACTGTAAAAGAATACTACTAAGACCTCGCATTTATATACTAATTTGGGTTTTAAAGAGTATTCAAATTGATAAAAAACAATTTAGCCTGGAGAGCACTATATACTCTCATGAATTAAGCATACTGTCTTGTTCTTTAGACATCAGCCATTTGTAACTCGTTACTTATAAATACAGTCGATTCTCGTTATTAGTGGTAGTTATGTTCTATAAAGTGGCCACAGACAATGAATTAGTGAATACTGAAATACTGTTCCCAGGGGAAATAAAGGGTTATGTTCCTGTGAGCTTCTAGTCACAATATTTTGGTCAACTGATCAATAAATAACCTTACTTTATGTGTGTTTCTGTTTAAAGACACCTTACTTAATACATATTGTTGATTCATTAACATTGAATTCACAGCCGATAGCACTGTAACTCATGCCTGAATGAAGCTTATCTAACACACGTTTATTTTCTCCATAAGGCACATCACAGCCTTCTTGTGCTTAGGAACACTAGGACAGCTTCAGCACTATGCTTGGGGACTGTTTCAAATGGTGAAATCACCAACAAAAAAGACGAAAATGAGAAAAAGTGTGGCACTAAACAGACCACAAAAAAGACACTTGTTTACAGTATGAGAGCTGAAACAAGAAGGCAGAATGCTGCCTTGTTCGACCTCAGCTTGGAACATGTGAAACAGGCGACTCAAATTTTCCTCCACTCTGTGCATATCAGTGAACAACTGTGAAAGTGCTGCAAGTATTGCTTTGGGTTACAAACACAGTTTAGTGAACAGGCAACTCTGCAAATATGGAATCTGCGAATAATGAGAATTGACTGTATCTATGCAATACACTTTGATCTCAGCAGGGAGAAGCAATTAGATTTCTCTTGTCTTAACCAAGGCAGTGGTTACTTGATGACAGGTGGTCTGGTGAGAGTCAACTATTATTACGTGTATATAACATGATTCAATCTCTTCTTATTCCTTTAAAGAAATGTAAGATGCAGTACCAGTGAAATTGAATAGTGCACATCTCTGGATGTTAAAGCTATTTTCTTGATGTAGTCCCTTGCATTGTTGTCACTGGGCAGAATCATGGTAAAATTACATATTAAAATATAATTCTAAAAAATCCCAAGTCAGCAAGCAAAGCAAAATAAATATTTTACTATTCACATCCAAAAGAAAAATAATTTTGAAACTATCTTCTAAAAATATTACTTACTAGTGAACCAAAAAAAAAAATAAAAAAAAAACTAACTCATTTTTGTTATCAAACTACTGAAATTAATGCTAAGCTGCATTAAAAAATAAATGTTTTTTTACCTTACCTCGATCTTTAGCTTTATCAGAAAGGAGTACTTCTACCTCCTCATATTCCCGGATGGCATCCAGTATGATACTTCCTTCTTTGCTGAATAAGAAGAGCATGGGGATCTTGATGTCATCTGTGTCCTTTCCATCCCCTGCCATCTGGAACAGAGGGGCAGTATCACTGCTGCTCCCCTCATTGTCATCTAGCCAGAAAATGAACACAGCAAGCATAAAAATATTTGTCCATTAAAAAAAAACTATCTTTATTACTTGTGATGGCATACTAACTGGAATTAAATCGTTAATCACAAGATATCAAAAACTATAAAAATAGACATATTTTTTGGACCTCCTAATTCTACGGCTACAAATTTATCCTAAGGAAGCAACTGAAAGGAGGCAAAAAGCTCTATGCTCAAAAGTTTACTGGAGTGTTATTTATAATTGTGAACAATTATAAAGCATTATAATTATAATGAACTACTTGATACACAGAAAAATGTGACTATATGATATTACAGAAACAAAGTAGAACACAGAATTCTATAATTATGACTGTAAAACTTTCATATGTTTATGAAAATGCCTACAAACACAAAAATTCAAAGACTTACAGTGACAGAACTATGGATGAATTTGAATTTTTGTCATTGTTTACGATTTCTTCTAACAGCATAATAATGTCCACAAAGAATAGTTATGACTCCAGTGGTTTTTCTTCTTAAGCTGAATTAAATAGTATTGCTATTTTACACTAGCTAAATAACAGTACTAAAACCCGCTGCCGTCGAGTCGCTTCTGACTCATAGCAACACTACAGGACAGAGCAGAACTGCCCCACAGGGTTTCCAAGAAGCGCCTAGTGGATTCAAACTGCTGACATTTTGGTTAGCAGCCGTAGCTCTTAACCACTACTCCACCAGGGTTTCCACTACACCACCAGGGTAGGACTGATTACACTCTGTTTCACTGGAGATGTCAATCACGTTCACTCCAATCTCACATGCCAGTCTCCTTGGAGAACCCTCCTGCTGTCTCTCAGAGAGCTCGCTCTCATAGGCCCTGCTAATTGAAGAACACGATATATGACCCACTTCTTGGCAGTAACTGATTAGACAAAGGATGGCTACGTGACCCAACACGGGCAGTTAGTCTCTGTGGGGACCTGGAACTAGCACAGAGAACAGCCATTTCAGTTAGCTATGATACTGGTCCAGTAAGTGACATACACACAGGGCTGGGGCTGCAATTTTGGAATGGCCATTCTGGAACTGATGAGCAAAGAGAGTCCACCCAGAGAGAGAGAGAGATGTGAAAACTGTTAGCAATCATGGTTCCACGTCTACTTCCTGGCAAGGCTCAGTTATATTTTCTACTCTTGGGTTTAATCAGTGAAATAATCAATTTCCTTATAATAAACAAACCTCCCTTCTTAAACCAGCTTAAGTAAATTACTGTCTTTTAAAGCCAAATGATTTCTAAGGTAATTTGTATTTCTAGTACTTGTAATACAAAACTAAGGCCTAATTCGGTCATTTACACACAATTAAAATCAGTGAAAACAAAACAACACAAAATGTTTATCAGAAACAAAAAATTTAGGAGAAAAGTCACAACATAAGAAAATCTACCCTTAAAAATTATATTGTCTGAGAATAAAGATCATTGCCTCTTATTTATTTACCCACAGAACCCAGTATAGGACTGTGCATCTAATTAGTTACTAAAGAAAACATTTTACTTAACCCACCTTGTATACTATAGAATATCCTGAGGATTAGACTTCACTGAAAAATAGAAAAAATCTAAAATACTCCACAAAGAAAAAAAGAGTCTAAAGGAAAGTGCTGATACGTATGTTCCAGACTTTATTTTTATATTTTAGTCTCAGTAAAAGATGTTCAAAATGATAGTGATGGCAAGATAGTAAATTCCCCAATAAAAATAATCTCAGTGTGGAAAATAACCAAGGATAAAGAGGATGATTTAAGTCAGGGGTCAGCAAGTTTTGACCTGATAGTGGATATTTTAGGTTTTGAGGGCCATACGTTCTTTGTCACAATTCAACTCTGGCGTTGTAGCTTGAAAGCAGTCACAGACAATACACCAATGACTCCGCGTAGCTTTGTTACAATGAAACTTTTATTTACAAAAACAAGCAGTGACCTAGTGTTGGCCCAACGGCTGTAGTTGGCCAACCACTGACTTAAGTTGTTAAAAAGAATGTTTCATAAGACTTACCTAATGAAATACATGTATTCATTCAATCAACATTGGAATACTCACAGGGAATAAGCAAAAGAAATAGGAAATAATTTTTCACTGAAATAAGTCTTAATATTTTTTTAAATGTCTTGATTTTTATTTATCCTCAACTCAGAAAGGAAATCTATCCTTAAAAACAAACCAAAAAAAAATCCAAAATGGATGTTCCCTGTAAGAGAAGCTATACAGAAGAAACAACTTCACTATTAGGGTGTGACCCCCCAGGTCCTCTGGTTCTTTCTAAATCAAATTCCTATTATTTAAAGCACAGAAGATGTACATTTACCCCTGATAGTCATGGCCTGCTAATCATGATGTGATTTTCCATGAAAGATGAAAAAGTCAAGTCCGCTAATTGAAATACACAGGTAAAATGATTTAAAGTTGGAAATTTGTCATTTCAGTGGAAAAAGACTCAAGGAGATAATAATCTGCTGGTAGCTAGTATTTATACCTATGTCAGATACTATAAGAAATTATATATATACACCCACACATAATCTTTTAACCTTCAACCAAAAAAAAAAAAAAAGAAACCAAACTCACTGCCATTGAGTTGATTCCAACTAATAGCGACCCTATAAGACAGAGCAGAACTGCCCCAGAAGGTTTCTAAGGCTGTAATCTTTATGGAAGCAGACTGCCACATATCTCTCTCCCAAGAAAGGGTTCAAACTGCCGACCTTTTGGTTAGCAGCCAAGCGCTTTAACCACTGTGCCACCAGGTTCCTTACAGCCACCTAAAGATACTTATTACCATTTTCAATGGAGTTCAAAATATATCCTACCAAACGAACAGCTAAAGAAACGGAAGCTTCTTGCCTAAGGTCACAGCGATTTTGTGGCAGAGCAAGGAACCGCACACAAGTGTGTCTGACTCCAAAGCCCACCTCTTTGTAGAGGAATGGAAATTTTCAGTGGCTCCCCACTGGAGATGGCAGAGTGTAATCCCTGCCCTCAAGGAGCTTTGGATCTCAAGGGCACATTTTCTTTTGCGTGTACTGGGTATTTTTATCATTCGCCCACACCTTGCCCTCATACATGGTCCTAAGTATTTTTATTGGTATTAATATACAGAAAACCAAATCTAAGCTTTCAAAAGATATTAGATATGTAGAAATTATTAGACACTCAGCGGGTTACCTATCCTTGATGTTGTCTAGGTGAAGTAAAAATAATATGACAAACTCTTCAATAAAATTTTTGAAACAGAAAAATTCTAAAAATTATCCCCTCCACAATGACGTGGACTACTACTTACCAATAACAATGCCACCAATGGCTCCAGCATTCTGGATGTTGCGTGCCTTTTCTGCAAACATGCACTGTCCTCTTTGTATCAGAGCAATTTTTCCCACCACTGCCTCGGGGTTAGTAAGTTCTGAACAACCATTGTATGGTTTACTGCTTGCAACAAATCCTCTTGTCTGTCAGAAATGAAAATGACTTAAATATTCTTTTACTTCTCAAATCACTATCTAGTCATATCAAACCTCACAATCTAGAGCTTTAAAGGAACTAGAATTCATTTATTTTCTCTGATAGCATATTTAATATATATTTAACATAAATTTTTGTTTTAAACATTTTGTGCATGATGGTACCCAACCAATATTTTTATTATGCTTTACAGTTTATAGAGCACTTTTACATAAATTACTAAACCTGATCTTTAAAATAACTTTGAGGGAAATAATACAGGTAATATTTCCATTTTATATACAGGGAAACTGAGTCTCAGGTTATGTAATTTGCTCAAAGACATAATGCTACGAAGTGGTAAAGTTGGGACGTGTAGGCAGATTCACTACATACTCACACCTACACTTACAACAGCTGGGAACCACTTTTAAACCATCATTATTGACTGGAAATTTTTTGAAAGAAGAAAAAAATTAGATTTAGTCTACATGAAACTGCAAGCAATTCTTCTTCCTAGAAAAATTACATCCATCAGAGAATTGATTTTTTAAAAGATGTTAGCGTACAGATGTTTTAATATGCCTCTCTCTCCTAGAATGTAAACTCCATGAGGGCAGGGATCTTCACTGATTTTGTAAACAGACACATAACCAAGCACCTAAAACAGTGCCTAGAATATAGTAGGAATTTAATAAGTAGTTATTGAATGAATCAATCTGTAGACCTTCTATACACACTAGGAAATAAATCTCAATTAGGAGTAATAGAGTAGAAAGACGACTGGCTTTAGATTGTCAGGATCCTTGGGTTCTGGTCCTAGCTCTACAACCAATTAGTTGGATGAACTTGCGAATTGTTCAGCTCTTTAAGTCTTTGTTTCCTATGCTATAACTAAGATGGACTAGCTTAGCAGTCTTCAAAGTTCGCTCAATGGAACCTCAGGGTCCCATGCTCCCCACAGCCACTTAAGCCACAGCATCTCTGCCTTTAGGTGTTTTCTACATTAAGTTTCTGAGTTAACGTTCAAAGAAAGGTTCTAATAGTTAGAAAGTCTGAAAATCATTTCTAGATAAATTAAAGGTACTAAATTATAGAAGAGACCAAGAATGTGAATATTTTAAATACAACTCTATAAGCATATTATACACATAAATTATGACTCAAAATTTTCAAGATATACTTTTACTTTAACCTACTTAATCTGGGAGACTGAGTACTTAAGATTTTAAAAATCAATTAAAACTACTAAATTAGAGAAGAAATTAAGACAGTACTTGAACAGTACTTTAAATTTAATTTCAAAAGCATATAATAAGTGTACACACCTCTTTATGTTTCGACAGATCCAGCCCAAACTGAGCTGGCCCAGCAGTCAATACTACCCTGCCAAAAAACGGGTGGGAAACAATCTGTACAGCTCGTGGAGGTAGCTGCTGTTCTTTTTGTTGCTGACTTGACAATTCAATCATCTCCTGCATGAACCTCAACCCATCTTCTGCATCAATTGAACTTGCAGCCTACAAAAAGAAACAGATTAATTTTATTCTTCCTTTCTGGGAACTTTTGCCAACTTTTTTAATTTCCCATATACTGTTGCTCTATAGATTTCTACTCTCAAATTTCTCCTTTCAGTTTAGGTCCCTATCAAATATTTAAATATTACTTCTATAAATTATATTTATGAAAATAACTTATTTGCTATTTTATCAGTGTCTCACTATTCTATACATCACTTTTGATACAGATTAAGCACTGGACTTCTACTAAATGTTCAAATTCTCTCTTTGCTTGTTTTCTCCACTGACTTCCCCTTAAGAAATAAACTTCATATCTGACCTATACTCTTCCCCCTCCTTGAAATTATGAACAATCAGATTAAATCCAATTCGAAAGATATATATCAGGCAACTATTATGTACTAGAACTTGGCTAAGTACTGGGTATACAGTCCTTTACTTAAGGTTTGTATCTAGAGGAGAAAGACATGTAAAATCAGCAATGATAAAGTTTTCTCAAGTGGGAAACTGGAATAGGAACATAGACAAGGGAATGATTGAGTCTGCCTGTATGGCTTTGGGAAAGATTCAGAATGACACTTGAACTGAGTGTTAAAGGAGGAAAAGCTGAAGAGTGTCTGATTACAGTGAAAAAATAAGAGGATGGAACCCAATAGATGGATCCTGATCAAACGGAGGAAAATCATGGAACAGAACTTTAAATTCACATGGAAGCCAGATTTACAGAATCCATTGAGACTGGGGGAAGCCCTGAATCTACTGCTCGGAAATTATCTTTAAACCTTGAACCAAAACTATTCCATGAAGCCACCGTTAAACAAACAGTTTAGCTCGATTAATAAAGAATGTTTGCTTTGAGCACTGTGCTGTCATAAAGAAGTACCTACAGGAGTTCAAACTGACAACAGCTAATCTAAAGCACAGATGAGAACTTTAAGGGGCAGAGAGTCTAAATTAATGGTGATGAAACCATACGGGTAGAGACAGTGAGAATGGTGACACAATGTGAAGTATGTAACCAATGCCACTGAACTGTACATATAGAAATTTGTGAATGGATGTATGTTTGGTTGTCTATATTGCCACCAAGAATGAATGAATGAAAGAGAAGGAGGGAAGGAGGGAGGAAGGAAGGAAAGAAGGAAAGAGAGAAAAGCGGATGAATTCCTGACACTACAGGAAAAATTAACCAGCCCTGATAGGAGCTGGGTGTAGAGAAGGGCACAGAGAGGACTTGGGCTACAGAAAGGAGTTCAAGCCTCTCCTGAGGTTTCTGGCTCTGATGATTTACATAATGATGATACGGTTTACTGAGATGGAGACACATGAAGGAGAGATGGGCTGAGGTGAAGGCAAGAAGGGAGTAAAAAAGGAAGAGAGAATTCAAGCTTAGATAGATTGAGATGCAGAAATGATGTACAAAGATGAGAGTTACCTTATAAAAGTAGGTGAGACTGCTGAAGAAGAGTATAGAAAGAAAAGGGTATGATCCAGATTCTTTGGTAGTGCCTACACTGAGTGTTGTGCCAAGGAAGGAGAGATACAAAGGAATCTACAAAGCAATGAGCAGAGAACTATACTGCTAGAATGCCCTGGAAGCAAAGGAAGGGAAATGTTCTAAGATGGGGCCAGTCAACAGTTTCAGAAAAGTGAAATCATACAAGGTCACCAGTTGACGTAGCTGGCAATTATGTCATTGTTAAAATGTGACAGCATTTCACCAATGAAGCCAAAGTGAAAGTAATTTCATTAGAGATACCACTCCCACTACTGTGGAGTGATGGTGAGTGAAATGTAAAGAAGCAGGCAGAATATTCTTTAATGAAGGATGGATGTGACAAGAATACAAATGAGAGACAAATTTGAGGGGAAAGTAAGGTTGTGGAAAGAATGCATTTGAGATTTAGGGATGTCTAAATATGGTTCTGGAGCCCTGGTGGCTACACTGGTTAAGAGCGCAGCTGCTAACCAAAAGGTTGGCAGTTCAAATCCACCAGCAGCTCCTTGGAAACCCTATAGGGTCACTATGAGTCAGAATCGACTTAACGGCAACAGGTTTGTTTTGTGTTTTTGTTTTTGAATATGGCTCTAGACTGACAATCAATAAAATTTTCCCAAAAAGGCATGTTATCTTTCCTAAAAAAAAACAAAAACAAAAAACTCATTGCCATCAAGTCGATTCCAACTCATAGTGACCCTATAGTTTATTATCTTTCCTAGGTATAGACAAATAAATGCAAACTTTGATTTCTATAATGAATAAAACAGATTCAGCAGTTCCTTGGAAACAAAAATAATGTAAAATTCGGAGATATAAATATTAAAACTAGTTACTATCTTATCAGATTATGCTCTAAATAAAATAGTGGAAAGTCAACAGACCGACAGAAAACTTAGATTTGAGTCCTACATTTGACTATATTAACTTAAGGAAATTACCAAATCTATCTGTGATTTACTTATTGATTTATACTACAAAGGGGTTGAATTAGATGGTTTTAAGATACTTCCATTCCTAAAATTCTGATTCTCTAATGCTAAACCAAACATTAAAAGTTTTAAAAAGCCAAACGCCACCATTTTATTAAAGCAAATGAAACCAAAAAGGCAGAGAAGAGACGGTATCTAATTAGTATAGCAATGTCTTACTTGGATTGCGTGTTGGACCAATTGGACTCTCCCATCTTTGAGGTGAATCAAACTCACCCCCATCTTCTTCAGGATTTCTAAATGCTCAGGGTTAGTGGCCATGAAATCTCTGGCTCTCAGAGGGGGTTTAGCTCCACTCCTAAAACTCTCCTCTCTGCTAAAAGTAATTGTAAGCAAGGCTTAAAACTACGTATTAGAATTGGTAAAATAATAATAACAATAAAGCAAATATCAATAATGTTAAATACTTACAAAAGTGCTAGTTTTAGAACTAGTGAAACTGGAACAACTGGAAACGGGTTTTTTCCTACATATAATCTAGGTTATAAATAAGTGGTATAGCTTCAAACACTATTTTATACAGTTACAAAAGTATGTATATTACCTATAAGGCAGTATTAGTCAATCCTATTATAACTATTTGAGGGTACAGAACGAGTTGGCTTGGGGGTGTGTTACTATTGATGCTTTCGTCTAAAAACAGATTTTTCTCCAAATATATTAAAAGCAAAACAATATTTATATTAGTGAATGATAATGCTCATTCTAAAAAATAATTTTTTTAATTTCCTTGCAATGGTCTTTCTAATATAACCATTTGGAAGAAGAGAATTCATTAAGCCAAGAAACTGTATTTGATAACCAAGAACAAAAATCAAACAAAACAAAACAAAAAAAACTACAGTAAAAATATTTGGTGAAACTACTCTTTGTAAAAATGAGCTATAGAAGTTAAAAACTGTTATAAGCTGCCGTTGAAATTACTTAGTTTATTAAAACAAAAGATATATGGAAAATTTCCAAAATAATAAAGACATTACCATAGAATAAGCTTTGCTATCTCACTTTACTAACTTACAATTTTTATTTTAATCAGTGATAAGTACACACCTGAATACTTTTGGTCTAACTGTTGCATTTTGGTCTGACTATTGTTATATGTTCCTTAAATTCTCTGTCATTCACTAAGAGTTTACTTTGATATTAAAAAAATATAAAGTAATATATCTTACACTCTGATGATGCCTCTAGGACAGCTCTTATCCACCACATTTTTCAAGGGTTCACGAATGCTCTGAGCATACAATGGGTCATTAGGGAAGAGAATCTGAGTATTTGGACAAGTCCAATCAAAATTACTGTCATCCAGTTCTGTATATTCTGAAGTCTACAATAAAAAAGAATATATGTAGATAAAAGTAATCATTTTACTTAATATTATGGTTTTTTAACAGAAAAAATTTAATGGAATAAGTATATACAGGATGCAACAAAAAAAAACAAAATAAGAAAACATTAAATGTACTTTTCCTTTTACCATGTATGTATTTATTAAACTGTAGGTATGAATTATTTTTTGCTTTGGGGAAAAAAAAGACTACATAGAAATAAAAAAGAGAGTAAGACATTTAATTCAAAAACATAACTCACTGTGTTCTTCTTAGAGATGCTTTGATTTGTAGTAGAGAGCCAAAGAGGTAACAGATGAGCTTCTGTTGTAAAGATGTAATCTTCTATGTCAAAAATAATGTCTTCTTTATCCGCAAATAATAGGTAAAGATATTTAAACATTTCAGCCAAGAAGAAAGAATCCATTCTAAAATAAAGGGTCACAAATAAATCTAAGAACACAAAAATATCCAAATGTCAACTATTTGAAAGCCATAGAGTCAAGACCAATAACCCTGTCGCCAGCAGTCTAGACATCCAAAGGACTACAGAATCTATCTATCCCACAAGCAAAAATGATCAGGCAGGGGTGCCTATCACACAGGTATACTAAATCTTGTCAATACTGCAGACAAGGTTGTCCTATTGGCCTTCTAATGACAGAACATTTTCTGTTTTCTATAGAGAATTAACAGCAGGGAGTTAATACAGATGAATTTTACTACTGAAAACTACACAGGGAATCTTCAATTAATGTTAACTAACTGGATAAAGTAATACAATGTTGATGGAACTTATGCAACCACTTAAGTAATAAACAAGAGGCTTTAAAGGTAAAGGATATCATTTACAAAATGTTATGCAAAGCACAATATCACATATGCACTTTGACTATAACTTTGTAAATATTTATGTACCTATCAGGAAGGGAATATGCAGAAATACAGGGGATAAAAATATATGCTATTATCCAAAATGATTTAATGTTATAACGTTTTAATACATATTTTAAAGGAAAGATTTTATAAAATTAAAAATGGCAGAAATAGAACACAGATGTTAGAGTTACAGTAACATCACATTTAACCAAGTTAACTATCTCCCAAGGAACCCTAGCTTTCTGCAGTAATAAATAACTTGTAGTTTACTGGACAGGTTTTAGTCTCAGACTTCTGGCCAAGTGAAATTCCTGGCACACAGTAGGCGCTCAATAAAGTGTTTACTAAATTGAATGCGAGTTTAAACAGCTAGAGGCAGTGGAACACTGTGGTGAAGAGCATGGGCTGTGGAGATAGAAGGACCTTCTACTAACTAGCTGTGTGACTGTGCGAACGTTATGTAAGGACGGTGAACTTCAGTTTATTCTTCTGTAAAAGGGACATCATAATAATTACATGTGTAATTGGTGTAAAGACTAAATGAAACACTGTATGTCAATTATTTAGCACGGCACCTGGCATACAGGGATGAGCTCAAAAAATACAGCAATCATTATTACTCATACACATAAATGACTTTTTATTTTGGAACAAAAACGCACCTGTAAGGTTTCAAAACTTTTTTGGCAATTTTGGATGTTAATCTTTTTAGAATGGATAAAATACGTCCCTATCAACCTGTAATACACTTATCATAATTTAACCTTTTCTGGATGACTGACAGTTATTATCACGAGCAAATGCTATCTTGAGAACTGTAGACTGATGAGCAGGATGCTGATTTTTGGCAAATTCTAAGAACTGTTTATGAAACAGATGATTTGTAAAAACTTAGAAAAAAATAGAGACATGGTAAGGTCACTACAATATGACTAGGGTAAAGCTAGCAAGTTACAGAATAATGTGCATCATTTGATCTAATTTGTATCAAAACCCATAAACATATACACAAATGCAAACACACAGGCATTAAAAATGTCTGGAAGACTGCTTATCAAATTGCTAACAGCGGTTACCTTTGTGAGGACAAGTGGAGGGAAGCGTTTTAGGAAAGGTTTTTATATTCTTTTTGCCATGTGAATTCTTTGCGATGATCATCTATTATTAGGAAAATACAGATATTTCCAATCTGAAAAAAAAACCTGTGTGTGTGTGTGTATACTGGTGAGTCAGAAAAGAGTGCTAAGAGATCTGTAGAGAGATAAGCAATCAAATGCACAGAGCCTGTAGCTGAAAGTTCTCAAGAGCCATGTCATGAGGCACTTGGTCATGGGTGTATCCAAAATTTTTCCCAACAATTTCGATGAAAATTTCATAAGACATGCTTACCCAAACTGCAGATCACTCAAAACTGACAGGTTAGCTAATACATTAGGTGACTAAGATGAGAATCAAGCTCTCTTTTTAGTTAGAAACAGGAAAAAAACAAAAACAAAATGAAACTATACTGGGATAAACATAAATTTCTAAGCTTACATTTAAAAAATCAGCTGCTCAAGAGGAGAATGGAGAACTCTCATTTGTCAGCAGGCCAGAATTAAACCTCTGAGTCTAAGCTCACTGTGACTAACAAAGCTGCTGAAAAATCTAAAGTACATCTAATAACACAGTATGACGGAGATCAAGAAGTTCTCAACCTACTGTCGAGCCAAATGCATCTGAAAGGTACAATGCTCCCATGAGGAACCGATCCTCAATTGGGTAGAGGGTGTTAAGACCATCAGCCCCTGAGAGAATCAGCAAACTAGCTAATCTAATCTAAAGTGATCTAAACGAGATCTAGAAATTTCTAGCCTGAATCCAGATGGTAACAATGTGTTGCTCCATGCACATCCTGAGTATGGTTATTTCTGGACATGGTATTTTAAGAGACACTCCATATACTGAAATACAATCAGAATGAGGCAAAGCAGTGGTAAGAGGTCCAGAAATAATGTCATGTAAGGAATGGAGGGAAATCAGAATAATGTTAAATTTAGAAGAATGGAACTCCCTATTTCTCTGTACTTCCTCAACCTGTTACTCCTCTTCCCATTATAACACATATCACATAGTAGTGATTATTTCTTTACACATTTATCTTCTTCATTAATTACAAGTCACAAGATGGCAGAGGCTGGTTCTAGTTTGTCATTCTATCCCCACACCAAAGTGCAGTGCCTGGCATACAGTAGGTGCTTAATTATTGTTCCTTGAATGAACTGCCAGTGTAACATAGCAGTCAACAGCCAATCTGCCTTGGCTGGAATTCTGACTCTACCTTACTAATTGTGTGACCTTGAGCAAGTGACCTAATCTCTCTGTCCCTTAGTTTCGTCATCTATAAAATGAGGCTTATAACAGAACTTATACCTCAGAGGGATGTTGTAAGAATCAAATTAGTTAAATATATAAAGTGCTTAGAAAAGTGCTCGGATTATAGGAAATAGTTAATAAATTTACAAATAGGTAAACAGGCTATCTGCTTTCATTTCTTGCTGTTATCTGTGTGCCTGCTTCCAGAAACCTATCCACTTCTCATCAGCTGTGGTCAAGGAAGGAGATGCCAAGCCTAATGGACTATTACCAAAATCTCTAAGTGAGGGGCTGAGGGACAAGCCTATGAGGAGATGATGAGTGCTGTGCTTCTTATGCCTCTGATCGCTCTGCCTGAAACGTCTTTTACTCCTTTCTTCTTCTTTTTAATTCTTACTCATCCTTGAAGACTCAGGATTCACTCCTCCAGGAACCTTACAGTAACCATCACATCCCAATTTGTGTTTCATACCCCTGTAATATGTTCAATAGCACTTATACAAAGCTTTAAAAGTCTGTTTATCTGACTATCCCCTGTGATTTAACAAAGGAAAGGGCAGGTCTTCATATCTTTAATCTTCAAAATCTAATATTGCTCCTGGCACATAAAACCAAAAACCAAACTTATTGCTGCCAAGTCGATTCCAACTCGTAGCGACCCTATAGTGCAGAGCAGAACTGCCCCATAGGATTTCCAAGCAGTAGCTGGTAGATTTGAACTGCTGACCTTTTGGTTAGCAGCTGAGCTCTTAACCATTGCGCCACCAGGGATCTGGCACATAAAAGGCATCAGTAAATACTGGGGAATGGACATTTGCTAACCAAATGAAGGAAAAAGCTTCAGTGTTCATTTAGAGATTTATTGATCAATTCTACAATTCTAGCCACTCAGAACTAACCTCTCCCACCCCAGCCCACCTTTCTTATTTCTGGGTTCTCTGATGTTGTTATATCTGAATAGTTAGAACAATCAGGTAAGTGATTTCTGAATACCTCACTGGAATATTACCGAATATCACAATGACTAAAGCACAATTTTTATAGCCTAATATTTCAAGTCATCCACATCTATCAGTATCCAATGAAACAGAAACTGCCAATGGTCTTCCCAATCCCTCTAAATCAGCAACAGAATAACAGTACATGAAAAACTATATTCCAACAAATTTGAAAACCTAGAGGAAATGGATAAATTTCTAGAACACACTACCTATCCAAACTACAACAAAGTGATGTTGAAAATCTGACCAGACCCATAACAAGAGAAGAGATTGAAAAGGTAACAAAAAAAAACTCCCAACAAAAAAAAAAGCCCTGGCCCAGATGGCTTCACTGCAGAATTCTACAAAACATTCACAGAAGAGCTTGTGCCAGTACTACTCAAGCTATTTCAAAACATAGAAAAGGAAGTAACACTTCCGAATTCATTCTATGAAGCCGGCATAACCCTGATACCAAAACCAGGCAAAGACGCCACAAAAAAAGAAAATTACAGACCAAGAACTCTCATGAATATAGATGCAAAAATTCTCAACAAAATTCTAGCCAGTGGAATTCAGCATCATATCAAAAAAATGATACACCACGACCAAGTAGGATTCATACCAGGTATGCAAGGATGGTTTAACATTAGAAAATCAATCAACGTAATCCACCACATAAATAACAGGAAAGAAAAGAATCACATGATCATCTCAACAGACACAGAAAAGGCATTCGACAAAGTCTAACACCCATCCCTGATAAAAACTCTCAATAAAATAGGTATAGAAGGGAAATTTCTCAACATAATAACGGGCATCTATGCAAAACCAATGGCCAACATCATTCTTAATGGAGGAGGCTGAAAACATTCCCCTTGAGAACAGGAACAAGACAAGGATGTCCTTTATCACCACTCCTATTTAACATTCTGCTGAAAGTTCTAGCTAGAGCAATAAGGCAAGAAAACGAAATAAAGGGCATCCAAATTGGTAATGAAGAAGTTAAACTGTCCCTGTTTGC